TTTAGATTGGTTTGGTTTATTTTGTTTTACGGCATATCAACCTCAATGGGTCATTTAATGCCGACAACATTTTTAGGGTTGATTTGTATGAATAGAATATCTATTCTTTGGTTTAGATTGGTTTGGTTTATTTTGTTTTACGGCATATCAACCTCAATGGGTTATTTAATACCGACAACATTTTTAGGATAGATTCGTATGAATAGAATATGTATTCTTTGGTTTAGATTGGTTTGGTTTATTTTGTTTTACGGCATATCAACCTCAATGGGTTATTTAATGCCGACAATTTTTTTTAGGATAGATTTGTATGAATAGAATATGTATTCTTTGGTTTAGTTTGGTTTGGTTTATTTTGTTTTACAGCATATCAACCTCAATGGGTTATTTAATGCCAACAACATTTTTAGGATAGATTTGTATGAATAGAATATGTATTCTTTGGTTTAGTTTGGTTTGGTTTATTTTGTTTTACAGCATATCAACCTCAATGGGTTATTTAATGCCAACAACATTTTTAGGATAGATTTGTATGAATAGAATATGTATTCTTTGGTTTAGATTGGTTTGGTTTATTTTGTTTTACGGCATATCAACCTCAATGGGTTATTTAATGCCGACAACATTTTTAGGATAGATTTGTATGAATAGAATATGTATTCTTTGGTTTAGATTGGTTTGGTTTATTTTGTTTTACGGCATATCAACCTCAATGGGTTATTTAATGCCGACAATATTTTTAGGATAGATTTGTATGAATAGAGTATGTATTCTTTGGTTTAGATTGGTTTGGTTTTTTTTTTTTACGGCATATCAACCTCAATGGGTTATTTAATGCCGACAACATTTTTAGGATAGATTTGTATGAATAGAATATGTATTCTTTGGTTTAGATTGGTTTGGTTTATTTTGTTTTACGGCATATCAACCTCAATGGGTTATTTAATGCCGACAACATTTTTAGGATAGATTTGTATGAATAGAATATGTATTCTTTGGTTTAGATTGGTTTGGTTTATTTTGTTTTACGGCATATCAACCTCAATGGGTTATTTAATGCCGACAACATTTTTAGGATAGATTTGTATGAATAGAATATGTATTCTTTGGTTTAGATTGGTTTGGTTTATTTTGTTTTACGGCATATCAACCTCAATGGGTTATTTAATGCCGACAACATTTTTAGGATAGATTTGTATGAATAGAATATGTATTCTTTGGTTTAGATTGGTTTGGTTTATTTTGTTTTACGGCATATCAACCTCAATGGGTCATTTAATGCCGACAACATTTTTAGGATAGATTTGTATGAATAGAATATGTATTCTTTGGTTTAGATTGGTTTGGTTTTTTTTTTTTACGGCATATCAACCTCAATGGGTTATTTAATGCCGACAATTTTTTAGGATAGATTTGTATGAATAGAATATGTATTCTTTGCTTTAGATTGGTTTGGTTTATTTTAGTTTACGGCATATCAACCTCAACGGGTTATTTAATGCCGACAACATTTTTAGGTAGATTCGTATAAGTAGGAATATGTATTCTTTGGTTTAGATTGGTTTGGTTTATTTTGTTTTACGGCATATCAACCTCAATGGGTTATTTAATGCCGAAAACATTTTTTTAGGATAGATTTGTATGAAGAGAATATGTATTCTTTGGTTTAGTTTGGTTTGGTTTATTTTGTTTTACGGCATATCAACCTCAATGGGTTATTTAATGCCGACAACATGTTTAGGATAGATTTGTATGAATAGAATATGTATTCTTTGGTTTAGATTGGTTTGGTTTATTTTGTTTTACGGCATATCAACCTCAATGGGTTATTTAATGCCGACAACATTTTTTAGGATAGATTTGTATGAATAGAATATGTATTCTTTGGTTTAGATTGGTTTGGTTTATTTTGTTTTACGGCATATCAACCTCAATGGGTTATTTAATGCCGACAATATTTTTTAGGATAGATTTGTATGAATAGAATATGTGTATTCTTTGGTTTAGATTGGTTTGGTTTATTTTGTTTTATGGCATATCAACCTCAATGGGTTATTTAATGCCGACAACATTTTTAGGATAGATTTGTATGAATAGAATATGTATTCTTTGGTTTAGATTGATTTGGTTTATTTTGTTTTACGGCATATCAACCTCAATTGGTTATTTAATGCCGACAACATTTTTAGGATAGATTTGTATGAATAGAATATGTATTCTTTGGTTTAGATTGGTTTGGTTTATTTTGTTTTACGGCATATCAACCTCAATGGGTTATTTAATGCCGACAACATTTTTAGGATAGATTTGTATGAATAGAATATGTATTCTTTGGTTTAGATTGGTTTGGTTTATTTTGTTTTACGGCATATCAACTTCAATGGGTTATTTAATGCCGACAATATTTTTAGGATAGATTCGTATGAATAGAATATGTATTCTTTGGTTTAGATTGATTTGGTTTATTTTGTTTTACGGCATATCAACCACAATGGGTTATTTAATGCCGACAACATTTTTAGGATAGATTCGTATGAATAGAATATGTATTCTTTGGTTTAGATTGGTTTGGTTTATTTTGTTTTACGGCATATCAACCTCAATGGGTTATTTAATGCCGACAACATTTTTAGGATAGATTTGTATGAATAGAATATGTATTCTTTGGTTTAGTTTGGTTTGGTTTATTTTGTTTTTACGGCATATCAACCTCAATGGGTTATTTAATGCCGACAACATGTTTAGGATAGATTTGTATGAATAGAATATGTATTCTTTGGTTTAGATTGGTTTGGTTTATTTTGTTTTACGGCATATCAACCTCAATGGGTTATTTAATGCCGACAAGATTTTTTTAGGATAGATTTGTATGAATAGAATATGTATTCTTTGGTTTAGTTTGGTTTGGTTTATTTTGTTTTACGGCATATCAACCTCAATGGGTTATTTAATGCCGACAACATGTTTAGGATAGATTTGTATGAATAGAATATGTATTCTTTGGTTTAGTTTGGTTTGGTTTATTTTGTTTTACGGCATATCAACCTCAATGGGTTATTTAATGCCGACAACATGTTTAGGATAGATTTGTATGAATAGAATATGTATTCTTTGGTTTAGTTTGGTTTGGTTTATTTTGTTTTACGGCATATCAACCTCAATGGGTTATTTAATGCCGACAACATTTTTTAGGATAGATTTGTATGAATAGAATATGTATTCTTTGGTTTAGTTTGGTTTGGTTTATTTTGTTTTATGGCATATCAACTTCAATGGGTTATTTAATGCCGACAACATTTTTTAGGATAGATTTGTATGAATAGAATATGTATTCTTTGGTTTAGTTTGGTTTGGTTTATTTTGTTTTATGGCATATCAACCTCAATGGGTTATTTAATGCCGACAATATTTTTAGGATAGATTTATATGAATAGAATATGTATTCTTTGGTTTAGATTGGTTTGGTTTATTTTGTTTTATGGCATATCAACTTCAATGGGTTATTTAATGCCGACAACATTTTTAGGATAGATTTGTATGAATAGAATATGTATTCTTTGGTTTAGATTGGTTTGGTTTATTTTGTTTTACGGCATATCAACCTCAATGGGTTATTTAATGCCGACAACATTTTTTTAGGATAGATTTGTATGAATAGAATATGTATTCTTTGGTTTAGATTGGTTTGGTTTATTTTGTTTTATGGCATATCAACTTCAATGGGTTATTTAATGCCGACAACATTTTTAGGATAGATTTGTATGAATAGAATATGTATTCTTTGGTTTAGATTGGTTTGGTTTATTTTGTTTTATGGCATATCAACTTCAATGGGTTATTTAATGCCGACAACATTTTTAGGATAGATTTGTATGAATAGAATATGTATTCTTTGGTTTAGAATTGTATTGCTGGTAATAATTTGTTTCAAACAAGTATTGCTGATAATAGTTCACTAATTTCCCATAGCTGGGACCCTAACAAGTGCTACCACCCCAGGTCAGGGTGGACCTGGGAACACCAGCAAATAAGAGGTGTTTCCATGCTCCTCAAAACCTCCTGATCAGAGAGAGGCCTTGCTGCTGGACATAGTTTAACGTCTTACCCAGGATGGCTTTTTTAATATTTATTGCTGTATATAGTTAGATACAATTTAAGTATGCCCATTTTATATTTAGCACATTCTTAATAGAAACATCTAAATTTAAATCCTTCAACTGGGTTGCATTTGGCATTTTATAATATGTCTGTGTGTGCATGAAATTTTCATTTATTAAAAGCCCACCACTGTGTGTGAGAAGTTAGAAATTAGTTCCTTTAAAATAAGCATAATGTTATTTTAAAATTTTCGATTGTCCTAGTATTGTCTCCCTCTGCATCCCCAAAAAACTTAACCACTCATCCTTAGGAGAACAGGATGATGTCACACTTAAGACCAGCCTTGCAAACAGACCACTAAATGACAAGTTTTTTTTTGTCTATAAATGCTTGCAATTTTTGTATTCCGATGACCAATTCTGATGACCGACATTTTGTGATACAGATTTTTTTGCTTGTTGGAAAAGACAGAAAGAAAATCATTCCCCCCACCCTGAAAAAAGTTGGAAAGGGACTTATCATCCAAACAGAGAAAATCCGGAAAAGAACTTTTCACCCCACCCCCACTCCCCGAAAAAAGACGGAAAGGAAATCACCCCACCCCAACCTCTAAAAAGGGACAGAACGGAACTTATTCAGCCTACTCCTGAGAAAAGACAGAAAGAAACAATTTCCCCTCCCTACTCCTGAGAAAAGACAGAAAGAAACTTATTCCCAAAACCCACAAGAAAAAAACGGGAAGGAATTTTTTGCACCTGAGAAAAGAGAGAAAGGAATTTATTTCTCTGAAAATGACTTTATGGATTGACACAAAAGGAATTAATTTAAGGAAAAATACTGAAATCTTTGCTCTAAAGTTCAAATGTCAGATTTAAGTGACAGGAAGTAAATGTTCATCATACCCCAATGCTATACTGGACAACTTTGCCAACGTCCTGGAGATTTTCAAAGTTTTTATGCTGAATGGAACCAAAACGCAATATTTCATCACCAATTTGCAAGTTCTATAAAAAGAGAGAGAAAATTTAATTTTACAAACCAAATTATAACATTCAGTAACATGACTGATCAATTCATTTTTTACAGCTTATCAACCCATTGCAGAAAAGCCAGAAATTATTTTAGATTGTAAGTTATTTTTTGAAATAATAGTCTAGTGATACAAGTTTTACTAATTAACCCATAGCTGGGACAGAGGAGTTGGATTCATGCCTTTCCCAAGGGTATGTGTGCATAAGTGACTATAACGAACCCAATTGGAATTGGAACTTGTCTCTCCAATTAACAAATTCCAAACTAATATCCATTACATCACCAACACATCCAAGTTTATAGCACTTGATATTCCCAAACAGTGACGTACTGGCCAGACTCGAGATTGCTTAACTTTAGTATAGGTTTCCAGGTTATAAATGCTTGGTATATGTTTTCTACAGTCAAAATAAGTGGCAAAAATTTCTATATTAATTACAGTTTATAATAATAATAATAATATTACAACTGAGAAAATCTATGAAAATTACCAGGATTTTTCAGAGCTTTTATCAAGTTATCTTCTGCCAAAAAGAAATCAATACATAATACTGGTCAACAAAAAAAAAAAAATTTAAATGGTGTTGAGAGACCAAACTTCTTTTTGCTAATTTGAGCGCGGGGGGGGATGCACTGAATCTGAAAATTACCTTTTTTCTTGGTTAGCTACTGTTTTTGCTGTACATAAATGCTGCATTTTTTTTTTATTTGTTTTCTTAACATATGATATTGACCAATGACAATATTTCTCAAAATAAAATTATAAAAATCTCTCAATTCGGATTTAAACCAACAAATATTGGTATGCTTATTGACAAATACTATTTTTACAATAACAATCAGACCCTATGTCTTTAAAACTAACGCAATTGAATATACGAAGACCAACAAGTATTTTCATCAAATCATTTAATAAACTAACAGCAGACATAAAACCTTCATGAACATAAGAACTATGGTAAAAATGTTCTCTTTCTTGATCGTCTGTCATGTTCAATGTTATTTAAATCCCTTTTGATACTCCAGCAGTATCATGTGCAATGGAATAGGTGCATTCAATTCAGATGTATTTAGTTGGAGTTTCTTTCCAACTATGAAAACAAAATGCTCTTAATGTGCTTGGTTTTCTTCCATAGTGAAGTAATAAAAATGCTGGGATGAATTTATGAATATCAAACAGATTTTAGGGTTCAATTTTTTTTTTTTTTGATGTCACCTTAATTATCAGGTTTACTAAAGTGCATTACTGATAAAGTTTGTCAGTTAATTTGAATTTTGGTGATAAATTAGAAAAATTCGATACTTCTATTTTAAAATATTTGACTCAAAAATACTTTTTTTTCTTATAAAAATAGTTTATTTCACGTGGCTGACATAAACTGATCAGCCTACCTGAAATTTTTTTTTTGATTTGTCCTGTTGAAATTGGGGTGCATCTTATACACCTGTGCATTTTATATGCTATCAAACACAGTAATTGATATGAATATTGATGAGTCCTGGTGTGGTGGGGAGTTAGATGAAATGCATATAAACAGAGCACTTAAGCGACCCAGCAGTTAGAGTAAAAGACATGGCAAGAGACATAGATGAAATGCATATAAACAGAGCACTTAAGCATGAAATGAGACAACAGTAGATGAACAAGCTGAAACCCACATGACCTGCTGCTGAGAGAATTCCAAATGAACATCATTCTTTGTTGATTCAACCTGCTCCAAGATTTGGAAGAAAAAGACAAAGTATCATGATAGAGAGTTTAACGGGAAGGGTTAATATTGTGGTATCAAAAACTATATAACCTTGTGACCTTATTCGTTATTTTGTTTTGTTATTTTCACCAGCAGAAGCATTCTTTGTCTTTTTTTTTTTCACCACAGTTCGACCCTGCACTTGAGTATGCATGAATGATCAAGAAGCAGAAGCAGATAAAGTAACAAAGCAGAAAGCAGATAACCATCATTATTTACATTATTCGGACTAGTGTCCTCATCTTTGTCACCATATTTATTACAACGTTTCTTCAGGTGGTTGGAATGTCAAACTGAACCCTTTATTTCCATCACTGGGGTAGACTGTTTTAGTTATCAGTTATTTCCTGTTAATTCCCCTCTCCAAGTTCTCCACTGCCTTAATTTGAACTCACATTCTTTGGGTCCAGTCACTGGATCTAACCAATGCCTTTATCCACTGTGCCATGAGTCCTTGAGGACATCTGTGTATGAATTTCTAGGTATTATAAACCTAATGTTTTCAGCAACCATTTTTGCTGTTATCATTGCATGTTTTTACCAGAGATCACATTGCAATTTTTGTTATTATTGCTTGAAGAAACGTTGTAATAAATATGGCGACAAAGATGAGGACAATAGTCCGAATAATGTAAATAGTGTACATAATACCTCGTCTCAGAAATATAGACAGATACTGAAGGGCCGAAACGTAATAATATGGCAACAAAGATGAGGACAATAGTCTGAATAATGTAAATAGTGTACATAATACCTCATCTCAGAAATACAGACAGATACTGAAAGGCCGAAACGCTATAATAAATATGGCGACAAAGATGAGGACAATAGTCCGAATAATGTAAATAATGTACATAATACCTCATCTGAGAAATATAGACAGATACTGAAGGGCCGAAACGTTGTAATAAATATGGCAACAAAGATGAGGACAATAGTCTGAATAATGTAAATAGTGTACATAATACCTCATCTCAGAAATATAGACAGATAACCATCAATTGACTGGCACCATTACTGGCCAGCATGGGAACAACCCAGGATCGAGGCAGGCCAGGCATGTTATAAAATAACTTGCAAAGGGTTGATAAGCCGTAAAAAGCAAATCAATCAATCAAAACCAGAAATTCAGATGAAAAGGATTTCTAGAATCAAAATCAGTGATAATGTTTTGTTTGTTTTTTTTACTTACTGCTTTTGAAGCTGGAGATCCTGGTTCAACCTTGTCAACTTTGGCAAACGCAGGCAGCACCCTGGGTGGCAACCGTGGCTGTCTGCTAATGGCCTCTGTATTATTGTTCTTACTGTCCCGTACCTCAGCATGAATCCGCAAGAGTTTTTCTTCAATCTCTTTCATCACTTGGGTGTGGTCAGTCTGCAAACCTACAATACAAGAGAGTCAGCTTCATAGGCTTGTCATACATGATGCTTTTATTGCTATGCCATATGCTTGCATAGAGGATGACAAGTGTTCATATCTGTAGTACGCTCACAGTTCTGGAATAATTGTAACACCCCCACACACACACACACACACTTATTAATTATTTGAAAAATTCCATCTGATCTTATTCCAACCCACCTCTGATGTATTTTCATGGAAACTGCATAGAAATAAAATTAAGTTTTAAATAATGACTTTATCAAAAGATTTTCAGTCTACTTGTCATGACTAAATTATCCATGTTTAGTTTTTTTTTTTTTTGAACATCCTCCTTGTATTTTCAATCTAGTTTAAGTAAGGACAAAACTATGACAAAAATGGAAAATGTTTACGTGTGATGTGTTTAAATAATAATCAGACTAAAACTATTCAACTCAATTCAATTAAAATTTAGTTTATGATAAGGATAAAACTATGACATTTTCATGTGATACGTTTCATCCTTTAGAACATCATCAGACTAAAGTGACACTTACATGGAGACATTTGCACATTCAGACAAAGAAGGGGACAGTAAGTATTTTACATTTTCTTTTATTTTAAATTTTTTTTTTTTTTTTTTTTAATGTTTTGGGTATATAGTTGAGCTGATTTAATTTCTTTTCTGTTTTTTTGTTATTCATGTTTCTATTGCTTTTGCTACTAAATGTCCCACATTGCAATAATGCAATAGTTTATGATAAGCAGAAAACATAGCATGTAAATGGTTCATTAAATTTTTTAACTAAAAATTGACAGAAAAAAAAATACCATCTTTTTTTGTTTATTAAAGCCAAATTCATTCTTCCAATCAGATCCTAATGTTTTTCCCATTTAGAGATAAATAATAGAAATATCTACATTTAAGTCCTTCAACCGTTATTTGGATTTTATAATCTATAATTTTCTTGCTTTCTTTATTAAAGCCAAATTCATTCTTCCAATCAGATCCTAATGTTTTTCCTATTTAGAGATAAATAATAAAATATCTACATTTAAGTCCTTCAACCTTCATTTTTCACATGAGTTTGATTCACCAGTTTATAAAATTTGCTTAAATTCTTGTGTATGTGTCTTCACTTATCAAAAGTGTGCTACCATTGGTGAGAAGAATTTTTCTTTTAAAGAAATTAGTTGATTTTAGAATAAATGTAATTGAGACTGAATTTTTTTTTCCCACCTCAGCATCATCTTAAAAACTCAAACCAATTATCTCGACCTGATGTTTCGTCATCCCTGAAGAGAATGTTAACTTCTAAGCCCTACAGCAGGGTAAACAGACACTATATCACCTGAACAGGTATAATTTACAACGTTCCTTTTTCTATGAGCTGTACACTAATTATGACTATCATAGTAAACTTATTATTATTTTGTTTTGCTTTTTGGGGGGGTGCCTTCCTGGTTAGATTGTTAATGTTTCAATAGTGAGACATGGTTGATTAACCAAGAAGATGACATCTTGATAATATCAGCGATTTGGAGGGGAGGGTACACCATGCCTGAAAACCACACCACCAGTTGACCCAAGTGTTGTAAGTGAAATTAGGCAGATGAAAGTGTTCAGAAACCATTAATGGTTATATCTGGAAAAAAAAAAAACAAAAAAAAAAACAAATACTCCTCACCTAATTGACAGATATAAGCTCTTTAGCCTTGGCTGGCAATCTATCTAGAGATAAAAAGACATAAAACAAGAAAAAAGAACCTATCCCACTGCAGCCTGGCCACTTGGAAGGATGTGTCATTTTGAAAAAAACACAAAGAAATTTTTAAAATCAAAAGGAGTCATGTAAGTTCGCAATCTACAGCAGGCAAAAACAGTATATATATATATATATATATATATATATATATATATATATATATATATATATGCATATATATATATATACACACACAACATACTTGATAAGACAAACATGAAAAAAATACAATAAAGGCACCACACAATTTATATAATTTTGATAAGACAACCATGAAAAGAAATTAACAAATAAATTAATTGAAAATAGCTAAAGACCATGGGCCAAAAAAAGTATTTATTTTTTAAATAAATTGTATCTATCTTAAAAATAACATTTCAAAAATAAAAAAAAAAAAAATATATATATATATATATATATATATATATATATATATATATATATAAAATTAGTCAGTATTCAGTAGAGTACTTGAACCTGCTGTGCTTGGTTACCTTTCCGCTTCATATGCTAACAATGAAACATTGTCACCTTGAAGCATGTTTCAAAATGTCTACTATTATGAACGAAGACAAATGACAACAGTAGTACACGGTTATCAATGAAAAACACAATTTCAAAGTTGACAATTGCAAATAAAAATAAAATACAGATAATTAATAAGTCAGGGATTAATTTGACCCCATGTTTAGACTATGAACAAGCCCCTCCCCAGCTTCTAAAACAATAAAAAAAATCAAAAATCGATAATTTTCAATTCAGAAAAATGCTGTGACTTGAGAAAAATCTAATGACAAAAATTATTAAAAAGAATTTTCACAATTTCTTATGAGTGGACCAATCAATTTAAGTATTTAAATATCTGGGAAGTGTTTTAACAGAGGATGAAAAGTGTGACATTGAAATCCAAAGATGTATTGGGATAGAAAAAGATACCTTCTAAAAGCTAAGCTGAGTATTAAGAAATAAGAAAACCCTTTTGTTAGAAACCAAGAAAAAGGATACTGAAATGATATATAATATCAGTCCTCTGATAATGCAGAGAGAAATTCCTTCTAAAAGCTAAGCAAAGTATTAAGAAACACGAAACTTTTCTTACAAAGAAAAGAATATTAAACTGTTATGCAATATCCATCCTTTTGTAGGACAGTGAGTGCTGGACAATCTCCTCACAGTTGAAGAAACTTGAAGCAACAGAAATATGGTCCTACAGAAAGATGCTGAGGATACCATGGACCAAACATGTGAGCAACAACAAAAATTTTTGAGAAAATGGAAACAAAAAGGACACATACTTAAGATCAGGAAGAGACAGTTGAAATTTCTTGGACACATAATGAGGAAAGAGGGTTTGGAAAATCTGATACACATAAGACAGATTGAAGGCAAGAGGAAAAAGAGGAAAACACCATATAACCTACCAAGCGAGCTTCAGTAAATGGACGATAAAGATTTGAGAGAGATAACAACAAAACAATTTATTAAGAGCTACAAAGGACAGGAAATTGTGGAGAGCCATTACCGCCTACATCCTTCAGGGACATGACACATAGAAGAATTACAACCATATCCCTTCAGTTTATAGCTCACCAGAATTTTTTTCTTTTAATAACTGTAAATCCCTATGCAGCAGAGGGATTTTCCATTATTGTCTCCATGGTTATGAATCCACAACTGCCTTTCTCTTAGGCTGACTCCATCCAAGGCTAGAGAGCCCCACCTATTATTTAACCCATTTTTAGATACTTGACTTTCTGAATGTAAGCGGTCATAGTTAATACAGTTACCTTTTATTTCTTATCAGTATTTTTGGATTTTTCCCCAAGATTATTATTTATCAAGAGTGCTCATAAGATGTTTAGCTCTAAAATTCTCCTTCAATCCTCTGCTTGACCAGGGGGATATTTTACTTAATAACAGGGGGGGGGTCAATGTAGATACTAGGCACATACATTTGATACGATGCCGAGCATGTCGTACAGAGTACACATCAATGTCTGAACGTGGGTAGCCTTCATTGTCCAATAAGGGGCCAGACATCCCAACTCCACATTGCTGGAATAAGAAAAAAAAAAAAAAATTAGCATTTTGCAACAATTATTTATTGCAAATATATTCAGAATTAAAACTTTTCTGTATGTGATTAAGACTCTGAAAACCTTGATTGACAATACATAATGATGAGAATCTACTTGAAAATCCTTGTCTGGAACTACATGACCATTATATAGGAGTCAGTGTGCCATAAAAACACATTCAGAATCAGAACCTTGGAGATGGGATTAAAGACTATGAGAATCTACTTGAAAATCCTTGTTTGACTAATTATACAAGACATAAAACTGAATCCACTTGCATATTAATATTGCTAATAAGATATTTAAAATAAAAAAATTGACATAGGAATTAACAATAAAAACAAGACTGTGTTCCGAAGCAATCCCAATGATTTGTGAAACTGGAAGTGATCTTTTCCCAAAGTAATCAAGTGTAATGTCCAAGACAAATAGAAATTAATAATTAAAGCAATTTTCATAAAATAGTTCTCTAATTTTTCTGAGATTATTTATAGTAGAACTAATATCCCTATCTTTTTTGTTACCTGAATCAACTGATATCTGAAAAAAAGCTAAAACACTGATCAAGACCTGACTAACTTTTTTTTTCCTCCCAAAAATCTAAACTGTCTCAAAACCAGAATATTTGCTTTTTTTTTTTTTTTGTTTTTTTTTAATTATATAATAAAAACATTATTAAAATATTTATGAAATAATTATTTGCTTTGAACGCTTCCATCTTTAAACTGGGGTCACTCTGCCTTGCAGTCACTATTCTGAAATTTGTTTTTAATACAAGTAGTACAGGTTGTATCAAAAATTAAAAAAGTTGAATTATTTTAAAAGTTTTTAAAATGAATAAATACAAAAACAAATTAGTTAAATTTTATTAGAATTTTATTTAAAAAAAAAAAATCAGAATAAACAATACAATAAAATTTAACTAATTTGTTAATTTCTTAAAAAATGTAATGTTTTTATTATAAAATGCATATAAATTAAAGTTAAAAAAACAAAACAGTGATTTTGAGATCGTTTAGATTTTTCTGGGGAAATTCCAGGACAATGGTAAGAAATTTATGATAAGCAGAAAACAGAACACATAATTGTTAATGATAGAAGTTTTTTTTTTTTTAATTTTAATCAAAACATGACAGACAAAAATATGTTCTTGTTTAGTTTATTAAAGCCAAATTCATTCTTCCAATCAGATCCTAATGTTTTTCACATTTAGAGATAAATAATAGAAATATCTACATTTAAGTCCTTCAATCTTCATTTGGATTTTATAATCTAGAATTTTCTTGCTTTGTTTATTAAAGCCAAATTCATTCTTCCAATCAGATCCTAATGTTTTTCAAATTTAGAGATAAATAATAAAAATATCTACATCTAAGTCCTTCAACCTTCATATGGATTTTATAATCTAGAATTTTCTTGCTTTGTTTATTAAAGCCAAATTCATTCTTCCAATCAGATCCTAATGTTTTTCACATTTAGAGATAAATAATAGAAATATCTACATTTAAGTCCTTCAACCTTTATTTGGTTTTTATAATCTAAAATTTTCTTGCTTTGTTTATTAAAGCCAAAATCATTCTTCCAATCAGATCCTAATGTTTTTCACATTTAGAGTTTTAGTTGAATTTCATCAGATTTTTATTTGCTGGAGTGTTACACTAGGAAATGTGCCCAGGAATAAACTTCTTTTACATATTTTTTTCTCATATCACTATAGATTAATCATTTCCGAGTATGAATGTCCAATATTAAAAAAAAAGAGTTAATGGGGGGGGGTGGGGGTAGTTTAATATATAAATTTTATAAATTTATTGTAAAAACAAAAAAAAAAATTTTTAATTTCTCAATTTTTGAAATTTGTAATCTTTTTTCTTCTTCATGCATTACTAATAATTAAGCACTCTAGATTACAATATTTAAATAAAAAAAATTAATTTTCAGAAATCCCATGCTGTACATTTTGCTTCTTTTTTTTTTTTTTTTTTTTTTTTTTTTTAATGTATGAGGAATAGACAAGTAATTTATAGAAAAAACTGGACTGCCTATTAACTTTATAATTTAAATAAAACAAATTCTTGATCTTGGTCTGATTTGCTTAATCTACAGTAATATGAGAAAAATTGAAAAGATGATTATTTCAATATCTATTGTAGAATTACTACCTATTTTTAAATGCTTGAAATCCCCCCCAACATGAAAGCAAAAAAAAACAAAAACGCCACATCCCAGGGAGGTCACCAGTACTTTCTCTAGAATTTGATACTTACTAAGTGTCCCATATTATGGTCTTGTGCTAAAATCTGTTAAGCTGAGTAAAGACTGACAGTTTTTATTCATTTGTAGTTAAAAACTAAAAATAAGGCCAACTTATGTCCGTGTCGTGAAGACTATCAAGGGGGAAATAACTCCAGTAAAACGGAGACAAAAGTTACCTCTCTTGAACAAACTGTTTTATTTCTATTTATTTAGTTGCTGAAAAGTAATATCAATATTTGGTACCACGAAAATAAATGTTTTTTTTTTCCCCGAAATGAAAGTAAAAAAAATCACTACCCCGTTTTAAAATATTTGCCAAAAATCAAGGTATTATCAGATTCAACTGTGGAAATATTGTGGAGGGATCTGTTTCATTCCTCCATCTTTTCAATATATCATGTGTACATTTTAATTTGTGGGAGGGTTATTCGTCAAATTCCTTTACAGTTGCATAAAGACAAATCCCTGAAATGTTATTTCAGTTTTATACATATATATATATATATATATATATATATATATACACCAAATGTGAACATACAGAAAATTAATTTTTCTTTTAATTCAGATTAGCTTTCAAATAAAACCAAAATTTAAGTTCAAAGAAGGCATTTAAAATGTGTTTTTAAGAATTTTTTTATTAAGTAACTACAGGGTATTTCAAAAGTCACACAACAATTGGCAGAAAACATGCTCTTGTGAAATAGCAACCAGGAAAAATTTGCGTGACATCATGCCATAATTCGACCAAGAAAATGTCTTAATGTATTGTTACATACAGAAACAGGATTCCATTTGGTAAATAAATATAAAATTTACAAGGTTATCAATGGTAATGTGACTTTTGGAACACCCTGTACAATAAACCAAGCTTTGTCATATTTTTAAGCCTTCTTTTCATTTGGCCATCATGGTCTAATAAAGGGAGCATAATTTTGTAATGTATTCTTCATTCTTCTGATATAGTTTGTTCTGATCTTTAAGAGAAATGACCTTTAATGTGAGCGGTAATGTTACTATAAGTGACCTTTTAGGATCTTTTGTAGTCAATTCAAATTTAAAATCTACATATCAAGTCAAACTGAGCCCTGTTTTTGTGAGCATGTTTATGGAACTGGTTTTAAAATATGAAAACTTAAAAAGAGTTTATTTTATCAATTCAGTAGTTTAATGGATATTTGGGGTTTGTTGAAACTCCATGAATTGATTTTGTTTTTTTTTAGATTTCCATACTAGTTTGTAAAATGATTGTAAATAATTTTACAAAGATTACAGGTATGGAAAATCTTGCATCAGAAACAAAAAGAATTGAATTTAATATTTTTCGTTTTTATTAATTCTTATGAAATAATAACAATTGCTTGACAAAATCAGCTGAAAAAGCTAACAACATTTACATTATTTACATCGTTCGAACTGTTGGGTATAATTATAATGATTATGTCCCAATCCTTATAAATATAATGGAATGTTACTGTATGTTGAATTGTGATTCACTTCCAAGTGTGCTTGTCAAACTCTCTGCCTGGAGGCAGAGAGGAAACCAGACAAGGCTATGTCGAAGGGCAGAGCCTTGTCTGGGGAGGTAGACAGCTACCTGATCTGGGATATATGGAAAATTTTTGTCTGAGACTATGGGCTCGGTTCCCCCGACATTAAATTCGGCCTTGTGACACAGCTGATCGCATGGGAAGGTTAGTGAATATCTTCTACACAATTCACCTTGATTCACTTCTAGCTCACCACTAACAGTTACTTACTACACACCACTGGCAAATCTTGTATGTTGTTTCTGTTATAAATATTATCGTTCCATTTCCAACCTTCATTACGGTTATTCTTATTCAGTAACCTTTCCCTAGGTTACAACAGTTTCATAAAAATTATGTTTACTTTAAATCTTGGTTACTGAAAAAAATATTTATCTTAGTAGCAGTCTATATTCCTGAAATAAGGTATTATGTACACTATTTACATCATTCGGACTATTGTCCTCATCTTTGTCGCCATATTTATTACAACGTTTCAGCCCTTTAGTATCTGTCTATATTTTGAGATGAGGTATTATGTACACTATTTACATCATTTATTGTCCCTCATCTTGTCACCATTATTTATTACGTTTGGCCCTTCAGTATTATATTTGAGATGATGTATTTGCACATTATTATTCGGGCTATTGTCCTCATCTTTGTCACCATATTTATTACATTTTGGCCCTTCAGTATCTGTTTATATTTCTGAGATGAGGTATTATGTACATTATTTACATCATTCGGACTATTGTCCTCATCTTTGTCGCCATATTTATTACGTTTCGGCCCTTTAGTATCTGTCTATATTTTTGAGATGAGGTATTATGTACACTATTTACATTATTCGACTATTGTCCTCATCTTTGTCACCATATTTATTATAACATTTCAGCCGTTGTACACTCCGGCCTTCTTCAGGTGGTTGGAATGTCGAACTGAACCCTTTATTTCCCTCATTGGGGTAGACTGTTCTAGTTCCACGTGCTATGTCTAATGGATGTCAGTTATCAGTTATCTCCTGTTAATTCCCCTCTCCAAGTTTTCCACCGCCTTAACCAGGTATTGAACTCACACTCTTTGGGTCCTGTCACTGGATCATGTGTCCTTTGTTTACTTAGTATGCTACATAGAGAAAAATAAATCTTTTCAATAATTGAAACTAAAAAATGATTTCATGGATTAAAAC